TGCCATGACAGCAGCACCCATTTCCCAGTTTTCTACATTATTTTCCTCCCCACTCAGTCTGACAGCCTTGACCAGGGTCAGAGTTCCACAGCAAACATCTCGGTATCTTTCTCCAGGAACACTGAGGTCTCCAGCACATGCCACGGGCCAGCTACCCAAGCACTGAGCTGAAGGGATAGTGAAGGCAGGAAGTTGGATGAAGAAAGCCTTTGCCTACCCCATCTTCTCTCACCCCACCGGGACACCCCCAGCCGTGTCTGGGTGTGAGCAGACACCGTGATGCTGGGGGCACGGTCCGTCCCTCCATCGAATCTCTCTACGCCTCTAACACCACCCAGACTTGAACCCAAAGGCCAACCCAAGTCATCACCTTGACCTCTGATCCTTCTGCTCTGTCCACTTGGATTTTTTTTCCATAGGTGTATATATTCCAGCTGACCCTCTGAGCTCACCCGCACCCTCAGGTTTGGGCCAGGAAAGCTTAGTCCAGCTGGTTGGGGAGTTGCTGAGGTACCTGGAAGGCCATTCCCAGCAGGAAGAAGGTATCTAGCAAGGCTGCCGGGAAGTAAGGATGGGAAGGAGGACACGGAGCGGGAGGGGGGGAGTTGAGGTTCCAGTCCCGGAAACCATATGACAAATGTGGTGTGAAGGTTCATTCTTTTGGGAAGAGAGGCCATATTCTGCATCAGCATCTCAAAGAGTGGTGAGAAATCAGGGAAAGAGAGGAGAGAGCAAAGAGGGCAACCCAAGGGGTCCTTCTCACTCAGGGATGCCACCCCACCCCCTGAGCTCGGAACCAAGCAGGAGCCCCGGGGTCCAGTTCCGGCTCTGTCATCCACTTGAGCATGTCACTTTCTTCTCTCTGAGCTTCCCCATTTGTAAAGTGAAGGGTTCACAGCAGAACTGGAGACTGTCCCAGATGGGGAAGGAGAAAAGAGCATAGTATGGAGATGGGAGAAAGGATGGAAATGCAGCAAATTCAGCAGAACTTATGGGCAAGGGGGTGGGCGAACCGGGACACAGTAAAGAGAGGGCGTTCCAGCCCCTCCCCCAGAACACAGCAAAGGCAGGTGGGGAATGTCCCCGGGCTGGCCCGCCTCCCTAAGGCCAGGAGCAGTCACAAGCACACACACACACACACATCCCTGGCCAGCCCTCTCTCCAAGGGGGTGGGATCAGCATGCCTGAGGTGAGAAGTCCACAGCTCAGCAAGGCCAGCGTGGCACAGCTGTCCGGGATTAGCACCAAATCCTGGGCTGCTCTGTGCAGGGATCACACGTCCTCAGCCTCACAGCTGCACCCTGCCCACTCCGGCCCCTCACCCCTCATCGGCCCCTCCTCTCCAGCACTCACTCCCTTCTCAGAGGGAAGCTGGGACCCTGCCTCTGCCCTGGCGGGCAGGGGAGGGGCTTTAGAGTGGGAGGGGCAAGAGAGGTCAGAGGCACCCCTGGTGAACAGCTCCACCCACAGAAACCTGGGAATCCCTTGGTACACCACTGAACAGAGGAGACAGACACAGAAGGCTTCCCTCGCCAAACCCTATGGCTCTGCCCAAGGCAGCCTTGGCCTAGAATTACCTTGTCTTTAGGCCACCCAGGCCCTTCCCTCCAGATGGTTCCTGTCCTTGGAGAGGCAGAGGCAGGAGGGCCAGATGGAGCCCCTACAGCTGGGAACCCTCAGTCCCAGCTTCCTGGAGCAGCGTGCTCCTGAGGCCCCCCAGCTGTTAGGAATCTTGTCACCTACCCCCCCACGCACACCCCAAAGCCCCTTGCTCTGGGCCACACACGTCCCCCCACCTGAGCAGGGGCTGGGGGGAGGAGGCCCCAGCACACCTCCCCATCCCCCAGGGTCATCCAGGCTCCTGGCTCTGCCCTAAAACTCGATCCACACTCCCATCCCTGCCCCAAGAGGGAGGCCACAGTGAGGAATCATACCCAAACCTCTCTCCGGGGAAAAGGCTTCCTGAAGGAGAGGACGGGAGGAAGCAGAAGCCGGGGGCCTGGGTTGGCTGAGTTCCTGTGGCCATGGCTCTCCCCAGCCTCCCAGTGGGATGGGCAGTGCTGGGATGACACAAAGTTGGGCCTTAGCACCAGGTGGGGCTGGCGCAAAGCGGGGTGGCGTGGGCGCAGGGAAGAAGGGCTCCCCCGCACACTGTGCCCCCCCCAGACTCCCTCCTCTGTGACCCGCCCTGCTTCTCCCTCTCCCGCAGTTACACAGTGACCTAGAAAAAGGCGTGGGTCGGGGCGCCACTGGGCTGGAGAGACGACCGGGAGAGGGAGGGAAGGGCAGCCTCTCCGCTCAGATCCCGGCACCCCTGGGATAGCCGCCGGCCCACCCCGTGGGCTTCCAGAGCTGGAACGGGAGTCGCTGAAAAGCTGATTCTGTGGCTGAGCGCAGAGAGCCCGGTCAGTACGACGGTTTCCAGCCCCTGCGCCCCCACTCCCAAGGCGCTGCGGCTCTCATCTGGGCGGGCTCTCACCTGTGTGTGCGCGCGCGCGCGCGCGCCAGCATCGCCGGAGGGCTTCCCGCTGAAGCCGTCTGGCGCTGGGGGCCGCTCCCTCGAAGTCGGGCGTGGAGTCCGCGGGCCGCCGGGGGGCCGCGACCCCCGAGCGCAGCCGGACGCGCCTACGAGTCATCCTCGCCTCCACTGGCGCCGCCGGGCTCTCCCTCCCGGGACGCGCGCAGCTCTCGGGCCAGCAGCGCCGTCAGACCCTGGGCGCGAAGCAGTAGGCCGGCGCCCAGGAACAGGAGCCCGCAGAGCACGAGCAGCGACAGCACGCCCAGCACCGCCGCCTGCACGGCGCGCGGCCCCTCGGGGGGCTCCGGCAGCACCCCCGACTGGTTGCAACAGGAGCTCAGCCAGGCGGCCCGGGCTGTGACGTCCGCCTGCGAGCCGTTCATGCTTCACGCCGGCTGCCCAGAGGTGCTGGCGACCGCCAGATGTGCGGGAGCCCGGGGCCGGCGGGTGGGCGGCGGCCGCGTCAGGGAGGGGCCCAAGGGGCGGATCCCAGACGCCGTGCGACCCCACCCCCTGCGTCGGAGCGTTCAGGCCCTTTTTAGACAAAGGGCTCCTCCAGTGTAGCTATGGCCCAGAATCCCAGGGCCGGTGTTACTTCTCGGCTCAAAGGCCCACACAACCACGCACGCACCCAACCGGCCAAACCCAGGAGTCCTGTCCCCAGGGCTCTCCCTCTCCCTTAGCAGAGGTCAGGAGATAGCCCGCCCTCAGAATCCCGAAAGGATCTTCCAGACCACATCCCAGGTGCTGGCTAGGGCGCTGCCCTCGCTGAGCGGGACACAGGACAAACAAGGGCCATCCCCACTCCTGGGCTTTCTGTCCCTGGGCCAAAAAGGTCAATACTGCTAGGTGGCCCAGGTGGCCACTGGGACAGGAGGCAAATAAGCAGCCTCTAGACCCTTAGTGATCATAGCCTTCATCGTGCATCATCCCATTGGGAGCGTCCTGGGGCCGGACAAGCAGGCCAGTGCCTCCTTGGTCCCAGGGGAGGGAGATGGAGGGCAGGAGGACTTTAAGGCCTGCCCCCATTCCTTTGCTCAGGCCCCAGAGGTCAAGGAGAGTTACAGACCAAGGGGAAAGCATAGATCTGAGTCACCAGGGCTCCTGTCCTGACCTTGAGTAAATCAGTCCCCTGCCTCCGGGAAATCACGCCACCAAAAGGGATGGAGATGTTACTGAACTGCCCACTACGGGGGGCTTGCTGCCAACTGGGTGTCCCACAGCCAAGCCAGGGCGGGAGACTGGCGCAGAGCCTGGCTGCAAAAAAGTAGAAAGTCTGGGGAAGCTGGGATGGAGGAAAGACCCTCCTGACCAGGTCTCCTGAGAACTGTAGCAACCCTGAACTCGGTTTAAAACAAAGTCGCTGTCGGCAAACACCTGACTCAGCCAACTCCCCGGAAGGGATGAGCTGATGGCCTCTAGGAGGAAAAGAAGGTCCCCCAGACTGCAGCAGGCCAGGTAGGGTCACACCTCATCAAGGACTTGCTGAGAATTGGCCTTCCCCATCTCCAAACCCCTGAGAACCTCCTGAGTTCTCCAACTCCCCAGTGCCCCAGAGGTCAAGGGTAGGACATCAGAAAACCCCTCATGAAACAGCGCACGGCCAAGAGTGGCTTGGGGTGAGGAAAACGTGCAAACACTTCCTGGCCATCCTGGCGCCTAACTGCTCCAGGACCGTGGACAAGACCCCCAGCCCCTTTCTCCCTTAGCACAGCTGCTTATGCACTGCTCACTTAGTTTGGTTAGAACTGGCACCTATGTAACAAAAAGCATTGTAAAACATGGAAGACTAAATCAATGAAAAGCACACAATGGAGTTCACCAGTTTTGAGCATGCTTGCCTAGAAATGAGTGAGTTACCAATGTCCTAACAACTGGCGAGGGCCAGCCCAAACTGGAAGAAGTGTTACCAGACATCAGTCTTAAGGTGGCCAATCTCTCTCCAGAGACAGAAACACCAAATCAAAGGAGCTCTCTGGTGCAAGTGGGGGCCTGTGTGTGCTCTATGCAGACAGAGGAGATATTCTTTGGGGTCATCTGAAGGAAGACCAGATAATATAAAAGGCAGGGATGTCATAGCTTCCTTAGGAAGGGAGGAGAAATAGCACAGTCATATCCAAAAGCAGTAGATCCTGATCTGTGCCCTCATTCATGGGACTGACCATGGTCACACCTGCTTATGTGAATGTCCAACAAAGTACGAAATCAATCAGCTTTCATCTATCTTTAATCCCATCCGCCCACTCCCCTCATCTTGGAATAATGCTCTCAACACACACGTGTGTCCTGGCAGGTCTGCTATGAAAGTGTTAATGTTTTGGGCTTCCCTGGTGGCGCAGTGGTTGAGAGTCCGCCTGCCGATGCAGGGGACACCGGGTTCGTGCCCCAGTCCGGGAGGATCCCACATGCCGTGGAGCGGCTGGGCCCATGAGCCATGGCCGCTGAGCCTGCGCGTCAGGAGCCTGCGCTCCGCAATGGGAGAGGCCACAGCAGTGAGAGGCCTGCGTACCGCAAAAAAAAAAAAAAAAAAAGTGTTAATGTTTCAGGCCAGAACACCAGCCAAGGTAGAGATGGCTCAACCCAAACTCACATTCTCAACTTTATTCACCAGCCTAGTGATGTCCTCTGTACAGCGTAGGAAAGGGGACCCCCACCAGGGGCACGGAGAGACAGTGTAGGCCGGACCTGACCATCAGTGAAGGTGATAGGATGACCAGAGACTGGCAACCACACACCAGGAAGCCAGGGGTGGCCCTTCCAGATCTCATCAAGGACCTGGAGCGGGTTCCAGAGCCCCAAGGGCTAACAGGGCCTAACAGTACGATCCCCAGAAGCCAAGGTCTGCAAGCCATCAAGGAGCACCCGAGGCCCCAGCGACACCTAGAGGGCCAGGGTGTCTTTGATGAGCCTGCGCATGGTGGTGGTGACGGAGGAGCCCAGGGCGTCGGTGATTTGGAAGGAGATCTTGTAGAGGTAGGGCTGCACGTCCCGCAAGCCTGTGTCAAACACGTTGTCCACCTCCGACTGCGTGGGCATCTTGGGCAGGTACTCGTGCCGGTTCATCACCTCTACAATGTTGGTGATCTTCTCGCAGAGCTTCTCACCCACCTTCTCCCGGCAGATCTGCCGTTCCTGCTCCGTGGCCAGGGCCACCACGTGCACCTTGACCGTCCACACCTCCCAGGGGATGCACTCGTCTGAGAAAGGCCAGCGAGACTTCTTCTTCTGATAGAACTCCAAGGACATCTGGCCCAGCCCATCGCCCCCGGAGTTTCGCAGAGCATCCTGGGGAAGGAGGAGCAAGAGTGAGCAGGCCAAAGCCTCCGAGGGGCTCTCGCCCTGAGCGCCTGCTTCCTATGCCCCAGGGAGCTGCTCTCCTAGCTTCTTCAGTCCCCCGGGAGGGCAGGGAATGAGGCCCAGAGAGTAAAGGATTCGTGTGAAGCGCCACAGCCAACTGCCGGCCTCAAGCTGAACGGTCCAAGCAAAGTCTGTGCGCCCACCCAGCTCCTCCAGCTTTGCTCGGAAGTGAGGTTTTTAAGCACATATTCTGGGCCAGGCTCTTTACACACGCAATCCTTCTCGCTCCTCTCAACAACTCTGTGCGGCAGGTATATAACCTCCATTTGACGGAGGCAGAATGAGGCTCAGAGACACTGGCAAGTTACCTTGCCAAAGTCCCAGGCCAGTGGATGACGGCGCCAGGGTTTGAATCCAGATTGTCTGATTTCAAAATCTTTGCCTTTCAACTTTACAAGAAGGACCTTCCTTCTCCTTCCACAACCCCGCCCCTTTGGCCCCCATCCTTCAGAAGGTTCTCCAAAATCACCTTCTCTCCAACGTCTCCTTCTCCCCAGGCCAATTAAGCACAATCCTACCTCATTCACTCAATGACAACCTAAACTCACAGCCTCTAAAGAAAAGCCCAGTGATCCTTAAAGAGAGAGACAAAAGCCAAGGAACCGAAGGGGGACAGGAGGGGAAGGACAGACCAGACCTGGAGCTTCTCCCTCCTCTCCTCTGAGAAGCCAATGGGGCCACCTGGTCCGATAAATCTGCCTGCCCCCCCGTGGGGTGTGGCAACCCCACACTCCTCCTAATGCAGCCAAGACCCTAAAGCACCTTTCCATCTGAGTCCGGGCCAACCCAGAAGGTAAGGATGCCTCCCTCAAGTCCTTAACTGCCCATCAGGAATAAGTCTCTCCTTCACGAACAAACCAAGCTCGTGTGCCCTCAGCTGACAGTAATAACAGCTGCCGCTTCTGTAACGCTTCCTGGGTGCAGGCTGTGAAGCACTTGACATATTTGACTCATTTAATCCTCACGGTGCATGTACCCCATGAGGTGGGCACAATTTTCATCCTAATTTTACACACAGTGAAATTGAGGCTGGGAGGAGTGGAATCACTTGCCCAGGGTCACACACTTGCTGGGTGGCAGAGCCTGGCTCGAGTCTGTGCTCTAAGAGTCCACTGTGCTCCCCGTGCCGCTCATAGGCATCTGGAGGACAGAGGGCTGAGTACCGCTGCCTCCCTTTGAAGGGGGACTGGGAAACTCTTATGAACTTGCCCTTTCTGGCCTTGGAGGGATGGAGGTGGGGAGCCCACTGTGGCCTGGGAGAGGGTCCACCCCCTGCAAGGATCACACCTCTGTGGAATGGAAGTCAGACAGACAACCCTCCTCCTCTGACCTCAGGGAACACCTTAAGAGAAATTCCCTTGGTTACTTGAAAATTTAAAAATATGCACTCATCGGGGCTTCCCTGGTGGCACAGTGGTTGAGGGTCCGCGGCTGGGCCCGTGAGCCATGGCTGCTGAGCCTGCGTGTCCGGAGCCTGTGCTCCGCAACGGGAGAGGCCACAACAGTGAGAGGCCCGCGCACCGCAAAAAAAAAAAAAAAAAAAAAAAAAAAAAAAAAATGCACTCATTGAAATAGTGAAACACTGCAACACTGAATGAAGACAAAATAAAAATCATGCCTCCATTCCCACCCTGAGGTGACCAACATTAGCAGAATGGCGTGTCCCATCCACCTTTCCCCTCACCCCTACAGGCACACACAGACACGTGCCACGCTGCCCGAGAGACACTCCACTTGGATGCCCACTGCCTGAGCCCAGCATCCCTCCCTCTCAGGGAGTTTCATATAAGAAAGGCCCAAATGTGGAAGCAGAGCAGAGGGGTATCAGGAGAGAGAGCTGCAGGGTCAGAGAAGGTCAAGAGCACAGCGGCAGCGATCACCCAGGGGCCCTGACCGCCAGCGCTCCGAGGGCTTCCTGCTCTGCTTCCTTGTACTTTTACCAGGTCCCCTCACCTCCCCGCCCCCCACCACGCCCTCCTCACCCACAGAAGCTCTGAAAGCTCCTCTTCCTTAGAACCTGAAAGGACCCGACAAGTACCCCCAGGAAGGGCGAGCTGGCCCAGCAGCAGGCCGGGGCGGGGTGGGGATGACACTCAGGGGCCGCCTGCCCCCCACCGCGCCCCACCTTACCCTGAACTCCCCGACGACCTTGCGCAGGGCGCGGTCCAACTCCTCAGACGAGACGCGCACGTAGGTGAAGTCGATGAAGTCGCAGTCAACGTCCTGGGTGCCCACGGTGCCGATGGAGTAGGTGCCCTCCTTCTTGTAGTGGAACTTGCCGGTGCTGCGGTGCAGGAGCACCGTGTGCAGCACGGCCAGCATAGCCTCCTCCACCTGCCGCCCCTCCACCGACACCTCCAGCACCTCCGAGCGACAGTTCATCTTGCAGCCGGTGGCCCACGCTGGGGTCGGGACGAGAGTAAAGACCGGGGAGCTTCGCCCCACCCGGGGACCGCCCTGCAGAAGGAACCATATCAGATGTGGACACCTTCTGCATGATCTGCGCGTCACCTGTTCACCTCCTTCCAGGCCCAGCCCAGCCCCTGACGCCGCAGCCCGTCTCTGCACTGCGCAGCACATGCTGGCAGAGAATCACAGACTCTCGGGATCGGAGAAGAGGAGAGCCTCAAAGTTCCCAGTCCAAACACCCGGCCCAGGCCTGAAGTCCATGACGGTGTGCAGTGCAGGTTACAGCAAATGCTCACTGTGCAACACCTATCAGCCCCTGCCCTTGAGAAGCTGCCAGGATGGAGGAGAGACAGGCAGGTAAACATTACCAGAGTGGTGAGACTACATGGTGGGAATAGAAGAAAAGGAAGATTGGAATCTGATTTCCTGGGATCTTGAATGACCAGATTAAGGCATCTGGACTCTGTCCCGAGGGCAGAAGAGTCACTGCATCACTGTCCAGCACTGAATCTGGGCAGCAGAAAGTGAACTCTGGTTGACAAGCAGAGAATGGCTCGTCGCTATTTTGGGGTCACGGACTGCTCTGAGAAGTCAGTGAAAGCTAAGAAGACTGGACTTGAAAACCTGACTGACATATACACACCAAATCTCACGTTTCCATCCACAGACTGAGGTAAAAACTTGCCAATTTAAGGCAGAAAGGGCTGGGCAAGGAGGCCAGTTAGAGGCCACTACAATAGTGACAGTTACAGAGACAGTGCAATGGGATATGGGAGAGTGAAGTACAGAGTGTGGGGTTTTCACGTCCAAAGGGCCTGGGTCTGAATCCCAGCTCTCCTATATCTTGCTCTGTGACCTTAAGCAAATCATTCAACCTCTGAGTCTATTTTCTCATGTGTAAATTTGGATCGTTATGAGGATGAAATAAAATAACACATGTAAAACACAGCAGAACAGTGGTTAAGAGCAGTGACTCTGGGCTCCCCTGGTGGTGCAGTGGTTGAGAGTCCGCCTGCCGATGCAGGGGACACAGGTTCGTGCCCCAGTCCGGGAAGATCCCACATGCCGCGGAGCGGCTGGGCCCGTGAGCCATGGCCGCTGAGCCTGCGCGTCCGGAGCCTGTGCTCCGCAACGGGAGAGGCCACAACAGTGAGAGGCCCGCGTACCGCAAAAAAAAAAAAAAAAAAAAAAAGAGCAGTGACTCTAAAGCCGGACGGCCTGGGTTGGAACCCCGGCTCTGCCAACTGCTGACTGTGTGATGTGATCATGGACAAGCTGCCTCACCCCTATGTGCCTCAGTTTCCCCAATCCATAAAAAGGGCATATTCACAATAGCTACCCCGAAAGGGTCGTCTCAAGGACAGGATGAGTAAGTATCTGTAACGCACTTAATGCAGTTCCTGACAGGTAGTATTAGCTGCTATAATTATTTCATTGTCATTGATGAGAGATGACACAAGGCTACAGGACAGGACTAGTGGAGAGAGTGGGAATGAAAGAAGAGACTTGAGGGCTTCCCTGGTGGCACAGTGGTTAAGAATCTGCCTGCCAATGCAGGGGACACGGGTTCAAGCCCTGGTCCGGGAAGATTCCACATGCCGCAGAGCAATGAAGCCCATGCGCCACAACTACTGAGCCTGTGCTCTAGAGCCCGCAATATAAAACTACCGAGCCCGTGCGTCACAACTACTGAAGCCCACGTGCCTAGAGCCCATGCTCTGCAACAAGAGAAGCCACTGTAATGAGAAGCCCACGCACCGCAACCAAGTGTAGCCCCTGCTCGCCACAACTAGAGAAAACCCACGTGCAGCAAAGAAGACCCAACATAGCCAAAAATCAAATAAATAAATTTTAAAAATTAAAAAAAAAAAGAACAGACTTGAGAACCAGAACTTCATCAGTAACTGAATATGAGCCCAGCAAGAGAGGGTTCAGCCTACACACCTCCCCTGACAGAGAATTCACTACTTCTCGCAGCAGGCCATTCCGTCTTTTCAAAGCTCTACTCAGTGATTCCCTCTATGGAAGGAATCTCTTAGTGCTTCAAACCACTAAACTTAGTTTTGATATCAAGAGCCACACGCAGAATAAGTCTCACCCTTTTTCCACAAAGGAGCCTTTCAGATATTTAAAGGCAACTCTTCCATCACCCCCTTACCCCTCCCCCCCACCCCATCTACAGGTTAAAGGTCTCCAGTCCCCATAAACATGCCAGCTTGACATCACATCTTATCTCCTCAAGTCTGGCAGCTCTCTTCAAAGTGTATTGGTTTGTCTCTTTGTCCCTGAAGACAGGGCAGCAGGCCATGGACTGCTCAGAATCAAGCTGGCTCTCTGCCTCTCGCTTGGCAATCAGCCCAGGACTACCTGTATTATCAGTTATCTTTTCACAGGTGTTAATCTTGACTGATCTCTCCAACTAGGCAGACGATTCCTTGAGGGCAGGGACTGTATCCTAGTCATCACTGGAATCTCAGTATACCTGATTCCTAGTACAGTGACTGCTCAATTCATCCTGATGCAGGAATTGTTGCTGGGTTGGTTCTCTAGTCTAACTCCATCCAGCAATTTCCCATCTAAAGATTCCCAGCTCTGGTCCAGCTCCCCTTTCTTCCACAAACCCCCTCTTGTATCCCCCGCAGGCCATCCATCTCTTCACTTTTGGCCCAAACCCAGGCTCTTCCCTCATTCTCGGCGCCACTCCACTCCTTCAGGAAGTCATTACTAACCAACCTCAGCCTCCTTCCCAACGCGGCCACCTTTGGTCTGTGATGAGCTTCTCTGCTCCCTCTCCCCCGACCCCGGTGAGCAGGGGACTTCTCCAAGGCAGGGCCTGGGAAGTCTCGTCCCTTCGGTGCCCCCAAGGCCCAGATCTGCAGAGCACAGGTGCAGAGGCTGACTGATGCCTTCTCTGAGTCAGGCCGGAGCCCAGGGTACCCCCATCCTCACCTTATGCAGAGAGACTGGAGCGCGGGTCCCTCAGGCTGGATCTTGCCCTTCCTCCTCCTCAGGCGCAGGTAAGCCCTCCGCAGGTGCGATCTCCGCAGGTACGATCTCCGCAGGTACGCCGCAAACTCCGCGCGCCCGAGGAGCCGCAAGAAATGGGCTGAACGCAAAAACACACAGTTATTCGGCTCCGCATCAAGAAACCCCGGCCGGACGCAGGAAGGACTTCCCGTCCGAGTCGCGTTTCTCCAGCCACCAGTCCCGGCGAACCTCCACGGTCCAGGGCTACGCGGGAGGAGCGGACTCCTCCAGGTCTCGGGAGCGGCGCCCCGCGCCCAGCCTGGCCGGTCCCGGGAGTTCGAGGCGCGCCCGCGCTCGTACAAGAGAAGGGGGCACACGGCTAAAACGGCCCCCCACCTCCCCGAATCCCCGTCCTGGACCTTCGGGCCACGCAACCGCCCTCCCCGCGGGCGGCAGATCACCTCGGCAGGAGGCGGTGCCGGCGCCGGAAGCCCTGACCCTCCTCTGCGAGCCTGGCCGGTCCCACCTGCTCCATCGGCCTCCGGCGGGGGCGCGAGCGGAGCTGGCCGAGCCCTGACACTAGTGCAGCTACCCAGATCGTTCTACCTCCACTCCAGAGGACAAAAAGAATCATACGCTGCTCTATAATTTGAAATCTACCTGTTTCTGGGTTATCTATCAGCTTTTAAGATTTGATGGTAAGAAGTATCGCCCTCATTTGGACGAGTCCATTCACTCCCACCACCGAGGATGTTGTTGTGTTTCGGCTGGAACAACTCACTTCCGCCATAGAGATTAGAGGGAAGGAGGGGCCTGATGGGCTCTGTGCTGCCTCCCTTGGCCGAGAGTAGTCATCGGCGGCGAGCCACCCCTGGAAAGGAGCCCCAAGTCTGGGCTCAGAGGCTTGGAAGGGGCATCGATCCCCCAAGATGAGGGGCATGCTATTTGGAGAGGTGCCCTGGAGATGAGCTCAAGCCAGTGTTCTGAGTGAATGGCAAAACTTTAGCTTGTTCAATGTGCACGATAGACAAGATCCCTGGCCCCACAAAGATGCTGGACAAAGGGGCTTAACCTTACTCCGTTATCTTCACACAGGAGCACTTCTTGGTGCTCTGCCATGACGGATCTGGTGACATTTCTTGTAAAGCTTGTAATTCTGCCATTGCCTCTGTGTGTGCCTCTTGATGTCATTCATCCATTCTTATTTTCTCCTCTATAAATGGGGCCTGGGGAAGGAGAAAGCCGCCTGCTTTAGAGAGCAGCATCCTCTTCTAGAGCCTGGACTTAACCAGAAAGGAATCAGGATAAAATATTGAGAGGGGAGGATCTGTAAGGAGCCAAAGGAGGGGGACCCAGGGACGTTAGAACCAGCCCCAGGGGGCCGGGGGGAGAGGGGCGGGGAGAAACAGAGCCTAGGGACTTCCCTGGCGGTCCAGTGGTTAAGACTCCCCACTTCCACTGCAGGAGGCGCGGGTTCGATCGTTGGTGGGGGAACTAAGACCCTGCGTGTCGTGTGACAAAAAAAGAAAAAAACAGAGCCTAACTTCCAGAGACTGCCAGTGAGTGAGGGGAGTGACTGACCGCTCTCTGTCCCCTGACACACTCATCTCAGGGCCCTTCACTGCCACTGTCCTGAATTCCCCATCATCACCACTACCAGTCACCGAGCTTTGCAAGGTACCACACCAGCACTTCACATGCACTAGTGTGTTGATTTCTCCTACTGCCTTTGAAAGTAAATACAGTTTCCCCCCATGTTACAGATAATGAATCTGAGGCCCGGTGATATGTAGTGATGTGCTGTGACGGCTAATGTTATGTCTCAACTCGACTGTGCCAGAGTGCCCAGACATTTTGTCAAACATTATTCTGAGTGTGTCTGTGAGGGTCTTTCTGCAAGAGATTAACATCTGAATGCAGACTTAGTAAAGCAGATTACCTTCCCTAAGGGGGGTGGGCCCCATCCAATCGGTTGAAGGCCTGAATAGAATAAAAGGTTCTGACCCTCCCTGACGGCTTTCAAGATGGGACATTAGACTTGAAGTGAACTATCTGCTCCTCCGGGGCCCGCGTTTGGAATCGCACCATCGGCTCTCCTGGATCTCCAGCTTGCTGGCTGTAGATCTTGGGACCTGTCAGCTCCCATAATCACATGAGCCAATTCCTCATAGTAAATCTCTTTCTATATATACACATCCTATTGGATCTCTTTCTCTGGAAAACCCTGACTAATACACTTGCCAAAGCTACACAGCTACTCTTTCCTCATTCTGCCAGTCTTTTTACCCACTCTCCTCCCTCCACACCTCACCTTGTCCCTGGAGCCTTTCCTGCCTGAGCCCCCTCACCTATCTTATCTCACATCCAGACACTGGCCAGTTCTTGCCTCCTCGTACCTCCCTGAAACCTTACGGGGCCATTCTCGTTGCAACTCTGACCCTGAGTCCTACACACATCTGGGTGGTCCTGTCAGGGAGCAAGGGTCTCAGCCCAAAAAAAGGAGGCTGTGTGGAGTGAATTCTCCCGTCCTATGCCACTACTCCTGATGACCCAGATGGAATCATTCAATCATGCCACGCCTGTGTGACTGTCCCCATGCCAGGCCGATGTCCTACCAAGGGGAACAAGTCACAATCCTGGCCCTCCAGGAACTCAGAGTCTCACAGAGGAAATGGACCAGAAGTTGCCCCTGGGTGAGAAAACACAACCAATGGTATGAAAAATGGCAGCAGGTTTTGCAGGGGCCAGAAGGGGCCAGGATGGAAGCCACTGCTGTTATCCCAGAAAGAGGCCTGTGGCCCGGAAGAGAAAGTGACACATTCAGAGTGAAGAGGAGTCCCAAGCCCTGCTCTCAGCAAGCTGGGAGGTGACTGGGCACCAGTGGAAAACCAAGACAACTTCAGAGAGCACACAACAGTAACCTGAGGAGATGGACAAGAAGGGGGCTTGGCAATTCCAGGAAGAAGTGGGGCTGCAGGGAACTATGTTGGAGAGGCTTCCTGGAGAAAGAGACAGAAAAGAGCTGGAGAAAGAGGTCTCACTGAGGGCTGAGGGTGGGAACTGAGAGTTCTGAGGCAGGACAGGCCAGGACAGAGGGAGCTGACTTCTCAGCCAGAGTCATGGCCAGCCAGTCAGACAGGCGACTGGCGAAGGCCCTCTGAGGCACGTCTGCAGCAAAGCCTTTGTGGAGGGACCTCGAAGGCCAACCCAAGACCTTGGGAGTAGGCAGCTGGCTTCCCATGGCGAGTGTGGCCTCGGACGGCCCCGCCCCATCCTAGTGCGCCCAGGGGAGAGCTGAGCCCTGAAGCTGGCCCTGCAGGCCACCCCCAACCGCTCCAGAGCTGACCCCAGTGCGTCACAGGGAGTGACTCAAGCCTCTGCAGCAACAATGAGTGGGACTGACGTCAGGCTGGGGGCCCCTGACAGTGGCCGGCTTGGCGGTGTAGCCAGCACCCTGCCCGCTGACCCTCTGATCCGAGCCAAGCCACAGGGGCCATGAGGACCAGCTGTCCCCTCTGACATCTGCCCCCTGGGATCCTGCGCAGGGGTTGCTCCACCTCCCACCCTTTCTGGATGTCACTCCCAGCCCCACCTCTTCCCAGGCAGAGGAAACGGCTGGGCGGATGAGAGAGTGGCAGAGAGCATGAGGAAGAGGTGGCGCCCAGCCCAGTCTCATCAGGCAGCCTCTAGACCTGGGCTGGGTGGGAGGGGGCGCATCTGCTGCCCTTTCCCCTGGGACACATGGGGCTCTGTCCTTCTGTGACGGGGAAGGGTGTTGTGTCTCTTTCTCTGAGAAGATCTACGTAGTTGTCTCTCTGACCAAGCTGGGGTGGTGCTTTATTTCTGTGTCCTGCCGGGATAAGGGGTCAATCTCGCCTTCCTGCGAGGTCTGTGCCTCTGTTCCTTTGGGAGGTGTGTGCATATCTGTTGTTCTTTGGGGCAGAGGATTCTGTGAGGCTATCCTTGCAAAAGAAGAAGGATAGCTGTTTACCCACCCTTGGTAAGGGAGTCTCTCCACCTACTCCTGGGGGGGCTGCTTTTCTGTCCCAGGTTTCCTATCGGGTGGGGTCACCTCTGTAGCTATCCTCATGGTACCCCAGTTACCTGGGATGGGGTCCAGGTCTGCTGCTTGGGCTACCCCAAGGCTGGGCGCCCCGGGTGGCGGCCCTTTCCCTCTGATGTTCCTTGACTAGGGCAGCGGCGGTCAGCACCCTGCCTGCTCGGCTCGCAGCTGGGCACTGCTCCCTGCTAACGCAGCACGTACCAAGACAGGCCCCCCCTGCACCCCCCTCCCCAGCCAGCTGCCACCCCAGGCCCTCACAGCCCAGCTGGCATGATTTATGGTCCTGAGCCAGCACCTGGGTGAGACCTTGAGGAGACCTCAAATGGCCCCCCCGGCCTGGCAGGGTCAGGGCCCAGCAGGAGGCAAAGGGGAACCAGGGTGGTGGGCAGGATGGCTGGAGCATGGTCCTAGGGGTGGGGGACGGGAGGCAGACGCCAAGGCCAGAGCCTCCAGGGCCCCAGAGCCTTCAGAGTCCAGCTGGGGACCCTGGAATGTGCCTCCCGCCCTCAGAATGTCCCTGGCTGTGTGGGGAAGGGGATATTGAGGGGGTGGAGGGGGGTTTCCTCAGCCTTGCACTCCTTCCTGCCCTTCCCACAGGGGGCTGGACGTTTCCAAGTCCCACTAGGCAGCCTAGGCCTTACCCAATCAGCCCCCAGCCCGGGGGCCAGGGCAGGGCTGGCAGCGGGCTGAGCCTGCAGCAGAGAGAAGCAGCGGTCTGGGGCTCCAGGGAGAGCAGAGCAGCCGCCCGCTGAGCTGTGGGGCTGCAAGGCCAGGTCCGGACGGGGAGGCAAGGCAGACGGGCGGAGGCGCACCCCTTCAGCCTCACGTTCTGAGAAGGCCCAGCAGCCCTGGGGTCACGGCTAAAGTCAGGGGCTCGGTGGGGCTGGGGCTCGTCCAGATTTAAGCTAAAACACGCTGGGAATCCTCAGACCCAACTCTCACGTGAGGGGGACGCAGCACTGCCCTCAACCAGAACAGGCCCAACACAGCTGCCTCACGGCTACGGAAGGACATCACTCGACCTGCGGACTGTCCAGCCACCACCCAGCAGCCCCCCACCTCTGACAGGCTCTCACAGGCTTCCGTCTGCAGCCACAGAGCCGGCTACCACCCAGCCCGGCGCGTGGACACTCAGAGCAACCGTGCGGTATCGTACAGCTCAAGTACCGGCTGGTTGCCTGTGACCTTCAGAAGCTTCTCTACTTCCTTGAGGCCGACCCTCACCACCTAGCTCCGTAACCACGTCCGGATGTAGCAGTTTCCCCTATCCCAGGCCCCCGTGAAGGGCCATCGGCCCCTGCTCAGAGCCTAGACCTCAGAGCTATGGCCCCAGTCACCGAGCCGCCCCCAGACTGGGGAGGGGGCCAGGGCCTCTGGGCACAGGGCCCTGCGTGGGTGGGGTGCTGGGAGACAGGGAGGTAGGCTTCCTGGGTCTCCTGTGAGGACAAACAGTGGGATTTGAGGCCTTGGAAAATCCCGCCTGGGATTCCAGGCCCTGCCGGCGTCACTGCCTTTTGACTATTGTCCCCGACGGAAACGGCCCAGCCCCCGGGCCGCAGGGACAGAGCGGCCATTGTGAGGCCCCACCAGGCTCAATGCCCCCTTGTTCGCCCTCCTGGCCCCTAGCAAGACTCAGAGGCCAGTTCTTCCAGTTGCTGGTTGGAAAGAAAAGGCCTGCCTGCAGGCTCCAGCCCTTGGGCGGGGCAGGGTGGGGCAGGGCTGGAGAAATCAGCCCCCCACCCCGTACCCCAATTGCCAGAGTCCCAGAAAAGAGCCACCATCCATGGGGCTTCTTTCATTTACAAGGACAGGGAGACCTAGTGGTTAAGTAGTTAGACCCATGCAGCTCAGCCACTTAGAAGTCAAGTGACCTTGGGAAAGTCATTTCCTTTCCTCTGAAATGAATTCTCCTCTTTGGTAAAAACAATAGCTATTACTGATTGGGTGCCTGCTACAAGGCAGGCACTGTTGGAAACACTTTGTATACATTCATTCATGTAATCACTATTAGCAAATTTGTGAAATAGGTACAACTAATTTCCCCATTTATAGATGAAAACACTGAGGCACAGAAAGGTAAAGTGACTTGCCCAAAATTGCACAGCTAGGAAGAGCTGGAGCCAAGATTTAAAGCCGGGTAGTCTGGTTCCGGAGTCCTCGCTCTTTACCCCTCTGCTGTGTTGCACGCTTTCCTTACAGTGTGGTACCGAGGGCTAGAAGTAACAAACATCATATGAAAGGAACTTGGCGGATGATAAATCCTAATATGTGGTAGCTGCTGTCATCACTATGGGGCCTAGATGTCTATAGGGACCAAGATTCTCCACTGCCCCGGCCCATTCCCGGCCCCTGGCCCCTCCTCAAACACCTTTTGCTTTCCCCAGGGGCCTGCCCTGTGCTCCACATCTATCTTTGCCAAAGAGTGATTCAGAGGGAGAGGGACTCAGTCCAGCCACAGCTGGTGGGGCACTTCCCAGCAAGCTCTGCTCCTAACCAGAGTACTGCCACCAGACTCACCTCCGCGTGGAACAGATAGGAAACCAGGGCTCAGTGAGGAAGAGGGGCTTCTCAGAGAGCAGCGTGGAGCTGGGGTAGGGCTGAGAACAGAAGCAGATCTCCCAACCACCCCACCCCTAGCCCCGCCTTGCCAGGTGCTGGTGCTGTGACACAGGCTCACTCACGAGCTCTGGCGGGGGTGCCAGGGATGCACGCTTGGCAGTCTGCACACTGCTGGCCATGGCAGTCATCATGCACAGGGCCCAGGACTCCCCAGCCCACCCCACATGGACCCTTCAGAACAGAACCTGAGCGAGGGCAGGTGGCTGGGGACTCCTTGGGGAACCTGCAGACTGAGGCTGGAGCACCAGGGAAGGCCCTTGATTCGGTCCTACTGCAGAGCAGAGCCCTATTTTGTTTGACTTCCAACCAGCAGGGGCTGCCCTCATCCAGCCAGTTCCTAGGGGCTGTGGAGGTAGAGGTTCAGTGGTCCTGGGCCAAGGGCCCTGCTGGGTCATGAGGCTGGAAGGGCACTGAGAGCAGGGAAAGGGGCCGGACCCCGCGTGGCTACCTTGGGCCTCGGGTTAGGGTCAGGCTACGTTCATGTTTCTCGAAAGAGTGGCCTCCAGGCCTCCAGCCTCACAAACACCTGGGTGCTGGGCAAAAGTAGAGCTCCATGAGCCCCACCCCATCAAATCTGAGTCTTTGGGGTAGAGCCTAGGAATTTGTTTTTGTTTTTTTTTAAAGAATCAATTTTATTTACTTTTGGTTGCATTGGGTCTTTGTTGCTGCATGCAGGCTTTCTCTAGTTGCGGCAAGTGGGGGCTACTCTTCGTTGCAGTGCACGGGCTTCTCATTGCGGTGGCTTCTCTTGTTGCGGAGCACAGGCTCTAGGCACGCGGGCTTCAGTAGTTGTGGCACGCGGGCTCAGTAGTTGTGGCACGCAGGCTCAGTAGTTGTGGCACACGGGCTTAGTTGCTCCGCTGCATGTGGGATCTTCCCCAACTAGGGATCAAACCCGTGTCCCCTGAGTTGGCAGGCGGATTCTTAACCACTGCGCCACCAGGGAAGTCCCTAGGAATTTACATTTTAAGCCAGCTAAGCATCTGATGGGCTTGGGGGATGGAGAACCTACGTGGGGGTATTTGGGCACAGGTAGGGACCTCAGAACAGTTTCCTTGCCAAGAGGGTGCTAGACGCGTGGGGAGAAATATTGAAAATGGCGATGGGAAGAAAACTTATACTGAGTAACGATAGCTGCTATCACCATCCTGAGCTGCCTTGTACCCAGCCCTATGGTGAGCACCACACCCACCCCCTCGCAATCCCAGCAGCCAGGTGAGGTGGGGAATGCCCTCCTCCCTGTTACAGATGTGGAAGCCGAATCAGAGGCCATCACCCCAGGTTAGGAACTTACAGCCAAAGCCGGTGCTCTTATCCCTGGATGAATCAGCCTCCAGGCGCAGGCCCCATCCACAAGCCAGGCCTGCTTCCCAGAAGCTTTCTCCGTGTCGGAAACTAGTCTCAGTGCTTTGCATAACAACCCCATGAAGCAGCTGCGATTATTTCCACCTTTTACAAATGAGTGAACTGAGGCCAGTAAGCTCAGCTTGGTAACATCCAAGATTTATGGGTGCCACCCCTGCCTCTCATGCCATTTGGGGGATGGGTGGTATGGGGGGAGGGTGTCAGAGAGAGACAGGATCCTAGCTTCAGCTACACGTCTATTTTTTATTCAATATATTAAATATATTAATCAGAAAAGACACGTACTATAAATCCAGGAAAATACACAAATATAAATGTCAGAATCTGTCACTTGTCTGCCTCCTAGAGTGAGTCTATGTACACATGGAAGGAGGGCGGGAAGAGAGCAAGTAGGAGGAGGCTGGTGGGGGCCCGTCCCTCCCTCCCAAACCCCACTCCCACCTCAACCTCTTCCTTCCTGTATTTACAGCAGCATTTGGCTTATTTACAGCATGGCGGTATGTGTGTTAAAAACGGTTTTATCTTACAAAAACATAAAGACCAGGGCTGGGCTGGGGGTTAAGACAAATAGTAAGGGTCACCCCTGTGAACGCATCCCCCTCCCCCAGGGCATGAACTCCCTGCCGACCTCCCAGAGCAGGTGGCGGGGAGGGGCGGCCAGTCTGCAGCTCAGGCCCAGGCTGAGGGGTGGTGCTCCAGGGGTCCGTGGGCCGTGGGCTAAAGGCACGTGGGGTGGCGTGTGAGCGTGCACACGGAGTGCACGCGTGTTCCCGGGCTGGGGTCAGAAGGGCAGCGTGTCCATAAAGATCTTCTCGACGATGGGTGGAGGGGGCACCAAGTCCTCCAGCTTGAGGTAGAAGATGCGCTGCAGGCCCTGGGTGCACAGGGTCCGCAGCTCGGGCAGCTTGCCCAGCAGGCGCGACAGGCAGCTGGTGGGCTGAGGCTCGCCTGCCTCGGCCGAGACGTGCTCCTTCAGGCAGCTGGCGATGCGGTTCTGCAGCTCCTCTACCCTGCAAGGCTCCTGCAGCCCGTGCCGGTCTGTGGGGAAGGTGCAGGATTAGCTGCACAGCTGAGGAGCAGACGCCCCTCTCCCCGGCCTCTCCCAGGTCTCTGGAACGGCCGCCAGTGACCAGGCCCCACAGCCCTCTGCACTGTGCAAAGGCACAGGAGCCTGCTTCTGAGCCCCAGCAGAAGCCTAGCAAGGCAGCAACGTTCATTATCCTCATCTTCCAAGTGACACAGTGAGGCCCAGAGAGGTTAAATGACTTGCCTAAGGTCGCAAAAAGGAAATAAAACCCTATGCAGGTTTTCTGACGAGGCCAGTGTTGCTTTTGGTTTCTGGTTTTTTTCCCCCCAGACTGTTTGTGAGAAACCCTGGGTTTGAGCAGCAGGGTTTCAGAGGCCACCTCCAGGGAAAGCAGGCCTCAAAACCCACCACACTCTCTCTGCAGCCCAGAGTGCCTCAGATTCTGTCCTACAGTTTTTTGCCCTATGTAGCTTTGTGAAATTTCAGTTAAAAAAATTAAGTGAAAAAGAGATGGGGCAGATTCTGGTGCTTTAAAAAATAAAGAGACCCGAAAACCTCCGCATTTAATGCCAAAAACTCCATCCTGCGTAATTATATTTACATAAAGTACACAACGAGCACAGCTAATCTGTGCTATTAGCAGTCGGGGTGGCAGCCACCTTTTGGGGAACTGATGACAGGAAGGGGGCACAGGAGGGGTTCTGGTGTCCTGGTCATGTCTGTTTCTTTTTTTTTTTTTTTTTGCGGTAGGTGGGCCTTTCACTGCTGTGGCCTCTCCCGTTGCGGAGCACAGGCTCCGGACGCACAGGCTCAGCGGCCATGGCTCACGGGCCCAGCCGCTGCGCGGCATGTGGGATCCTCCCGGACCGGGGCACGAACCCGTGTCCCCTGCATCGGCAGGCGGACTCTCAACCACTGCGCCACCAGGGAAGCTCATGTCTGTTTCTTGATCTAGGTGCTGTTTATGTGCACATGCTCCGTTTGTAAAAACTTCCTGTGTGCAACACGATTAAGATTTTAAAAACAAACCCAAACTTTAGGCCACACATGACACCTACACGATCAGGATCTGTGGTCCTCTGGGATAACTCACAGGCTGGCTTGGTTTGCAGTCAGCCACAGCTGGGCCTGAAGCCTGGCTCTGCCACCTGCCAGCTGTGTTGCCCTGAGCCATGCTTACCCCTCTCTGCATCTAATCACCCTCGCTCCACAAGGTGGGGGCCCAGGAAGCGCCAGGTGCCCGCCCATCCAGGGCCAGGCCCTCAGGCCCTCCCCATCTCCCCAGGTCTGTGGAACTAGCCACCCACCTGTGATAAGGACGAGCGCAGAGAGGCAGGCAAAAGCAGGGACGTCGACGACCAAGCTGTGCAGGGAGCGAGAGAAGGCCAGGATGCTGTCGATCCAGTCCCCGAAGCCGCGGGCACACTGCAGCCGGTGCAGCACCAGGCCCGAGCAGAAGATGAGCTTCCCCTCAGCCGGCTTAGACCTGGTGGGCAGGGATGCAGACACGAGTCAGAGGGGCTGGAGGGCAGGGCGGCAGGGTGAGGGGTGAGCAGACAGCCGGAAGCTCACCGGTAGGCCAGGCGGAGGATGAAGAGCTCCAGGAAGGCCGACTCCAGCAGCAGGTCCTGGTCCCCGGGGGAAAGCTCGGCAAAGCCGGGGATCTTCTCAGCCCACTTGCGGATAACCTCCAGGGAACCCGAAAGCAGGTCGTAGAACTGCTGCACGTCCCCGGCATCCTCCTTCCCGAAGTGGGGCAGCACCAGCTCCTGGAACTAGGAAGCGGCCTGGCCGGGTCAGACCCCAGGGAAAGCCCCGCACCAAGGCCGCCACGTACAGCCATGACACGCCCTCCCTCGGATGTCAGATCCCGGGGGTGAGAGTGGAGCTGAGATTCCGCCCACACTTGCTTGCCAACTCTCACATATTAACCCAGGGCCACAGCTGCTGGAAGGAGCACGTTTTTCTAATTGACCCCTGCCCTAAGGGGTACATTTTCCCATCTGGTCAGCCTGGAGGGGCCTCCTCTCTTTTCAATTTGTGGAACTGGGGCTTTTCTAATGTGCAGGAAAGCGCTGAACGTGGGGTAGGCGGGGCCTCACCTTGGAGTAGTCCAGTTTGGAAGTGCTGGGCCCCGAGTCCAGGTGTGCCCGGACCAGGGAGGTGAGGAGATTCGCAGGGGAGGCATCCGGGGGTTGCTTGGGCTTTGAAGGGAGCCGCCCCCGCCGCCCCTTCAGGCTGTCTGTCCGGACAACTGCAGAGAAATGGGCAAGGGTGAGCAAGGGAGGAAGGGAGCCAGGGAAGGGCCTCTCAGCCCAAGCTGTGCCCAGCAGTGCCAGGCAGCAACCCCAAGTGCAAGGACCTAGAGCCCCCGAGACCCAGGGGACTCTGCAGGGACCTCCCCCACCACAAGGCAGGCAGGTGGACCAGAGGTCGGGGAGGAAGTAGGGCCCAGGCATGCCCTGCCCTGCGGCCCACCAGAACAAATGTCTGGGGGACTCTGCCGGCCCCACCCCACTCAGGCCCGCCGCTGTCCCACTGGGCCTGTGCCAGCCACCCACCTTCCTTCACCATGCCCACAGCCAGGCACTTCTGGAAGCGACAGAACTGGCAGCGGTTTCGCCGTCTCTTGTCCACAGGGCAGTCCTTGTTAGCCAGGCAGATGTACTTGGCATTTTTCTGCACTGTGCGCTGGCGGGGGGGGGCAACACGGAACACGCTGTCAGAGCGTGGGGATGGGGGGAGCCCAGGGGAGGGAAGCGACCAGATCCTACTGCCATCGCAGACAAAAGCGCTCTCTGTTCACAGCTATTTTTCTAACATTTGGGTGGCAGGGGAGGGAGAGATGGATGGGTGGGGGAAGGAAGAGAAAAGTCTTGGGGACACTGGGGGAGGGTTCGGCCTCACCCTCAGGACACAAGATTAGGGGCTCGGGGCTCCCCAGCAGCTGGTACTTCTTAACATGCCTGCGTCCGCCTGCCCCTTCCCTGGGGCAGACACGAGAGGGCTGAGGAGGGGCTGGGGGTGGGGACGGGAAGCGAAGCAGGCACCCAGCACTGGGACAAACACACAGCCTGTTCCCAAGTCCACCCCCAGCCCTCAAGCACCAAGCCCTCTTCTCAGATCCTTTCATCTCGCGCCAGGAACACGAGTGCCTGGGGCCCCCCTTCCCACCAGGACCTTGAGTGGGGGGAGGCCAGGCAGAGGAAAGCTAGAGGCTGGCCACTGAACTTCCCCTCGTGGGTACCCCTGCAGCCCGCACCCTCTGCCCAGCTCTCACCCCTCCCTCCATAACTCTACAGCCCCAGTCCCAGCATGAAAAGGTCCCCGCTCCCTGCTCCCAGGACAGTAGCCCACCTGGCAGGCCTGCCCTCTGCTTAAAGAGCAGAACTTGTTGGGAGGAGAACCCAAGGGAAGTCACCACAGACCCTGCTGGGGTGAGAGAGCAGCCTGTCCCACCTGTCATAAAAAGCTACCCCCCGGGCAGCCCAGTACCTTGAAGAAGCCCTTGCAGCCCTCGCAGGTGCGGACACCGTAATGCTGGCAAGAGGCGTTGTCCCCACACACGGCACAGCGGCCCTCGCTTGCACCCGGAGCCCCACTCCGGGCTTTGGCTGGGGTCACGGGCGCATCCACCATCCCCAAGCCATCGAGGTGTGAAGACGCGGGCACCAGGCCTGGGAACACTGTCGGCATGGAATAGCTCTCTCCCTCCCCCAGCTGGTGGGCAGCCTGCGAGGGGAACAGCCTCAGGGGGCTCTGGGCCAGGCTGGGACTGGGGCCGGGGGGAGGGCTGAAGGAAAAGAAGGTCAGCGGCTGGGGGTGCCCAGAAGCCTTGGGCAGCTGCTCTGTCCATGCCCGCATGCCTTCGTAAGTCTGGCTGGGCGAGAAGGGGCCGAAGGAGCCGTCCCAGGGAGAGAGCTGTGGCGGCTGGAAGCTGGGCGTGGACGGTGACGGGGCTGAGCAGGGGCTGCCGTAGTAGTCGGAGCCGCTGGAGGACAGGGTCTCGTCGAGAGGGCCGCTCAGGGTGCCGGGGTAGCAGCCGAACACCTGGAAGTCCTCGAACTTGAATGAAGCGGAGGCAGGGGAGGTGGCTGACGATGAAGACGTGGAGGAGGCCGAGGAGGAGGCCGAGGAGCACGGCTGGGCTGTTCCCGGCAGCTGGTACAGGAAGGTGTCAAACTCCCCCGTGTAGCCGTCCATGAAGGTGCTGAAGCTGGGCAAGGCCGTGGGGACAGCGGGGGCCGCCTCAGGGCTGGCCAGGTCCATGGTGGGCTTGCTGAGCTCAGGGGTCAGGGGGTCACCGGGTCCCGGGCTTGATGCTGGTGTCCCATACTGGGCTTGGATGCAGGGCATCTCTGGAGAAGGAAGAGACCAAAGGGTGGGGAGGTGGGGAGTCAGTGAGAGAAGCCTGAGGCCTGACCTCTAAGTATAGGCCCCTGAGTTGCCAGGTGGCAGGAGTCCCAGCCAGACAGGGGACACGAGGCGTTAGGGCCACAGCCCACCACAGAACCCAGGAATCCTGGCCCCCAGCCAGAGCACCGTCTCAACCTCCATGTCACAAAGCCCCTGGGCAATGGCCCAGCAAGAGTGGGCTCAAGTCGGAAGGCCAGCCACACCCCAGGCAGCCTGGGAACCCTAGGGAAGGCATCTAGCCAGCATTTCTCTGCTGGAACAGGGGAAAGCTGTGTTCCTCCAGCCCCCTGCCCCTCCCTTACTGGGTAAGGCATGGGTGGGGGCTGGGAGAAGGGTGGGTGGGAGAGGCAGCCAGGCAAGGCCTGAGCCCAGTCCCGGGAGCAGATATGTCGTTCCTCCAACCTGCACTTCTGGGAATATTCCCAGGCATGGCCCAGCCTCTCCCAAACCCCCTCTCCTCCTCCCCACACAGTGCCAGTGCCTGGGCTGAAGGACATCCTGCAGATGGAAAAGGAGCTGGGAGTAAAGGCCCAGCTGCCTACGAAAGCAGCCTAAGCAGCAGTGAGCCTGTGCCCCTCCACCCCTACCCCCACCCGTCCCCACCCTACGTACTGAGCAAAGGCTGCAGATCCCACGCGCACCCCAGTCCTGCCATCTGGGGACAGGCACCCACTCTACGCTGCCTGGGATGCTCCCAGAAGCAAAGAGAAAGGGAGCCCGGCCTCCTTACCCAGTCCCCAGCTCCCCAGGGGATCAGGTAACCTGGCTCCAGACCTTTAAAGGCCACGTGCTGGAAGGGGGAACGTGAGGGAGACAGCAGCCCCTGGACTTCCAGGAGAAGTCCTGAAGAGGAATTCCTCTGCTACCCCCAAAGCGTCTCCCCCTGTTATTTTTATGAGAACACTCAAGAGTCCAGGAGGCTGGAGATGGCTGTGCAGGGAAGAGGAGGAGCCTGCTGGTGAGTGCCGGAAGCCCGGGTCCCTCCGCTAAAGAGTTCTGTGCCCTGAAGAAACCAGGAGCTCAGGCAAAGGTGCTTACACCCTGCCCCAAACCTGTGGAGCCTGAAGGAGCAGACGGAGCATCATTCGGGGGGATCCCTAAGTTCGCAGACAAGTCAAAAACTAACGCAGGGGAGGCTCCGGGACAGTTCCCCATCCCGCCTCCTGGCTTGGCGGTCTCCGTGACCCTGGTCTCATCAGTCAGGGAGGGAGGCTGGGTAAGAAAGCAAGCTGAAGCAGAGCGCCATAGTCAAGGGGGACAGCAGGAGGGGCCAAGGTTGGCATCACCTCCTGGCCAAGAGCCCAGGGAGTCCTCTGGTTCTAGCCTTTCTCCCACCTCCTTTGGCCCCGGACAGGGCAGCTCCACCCCTGACCTGACACTCCCACAACCAACCCAGACAACAGAGCCCCCAGAAACTCTGGCCCCACCCACCCAGTGGCACCCATCCAGAGGCACTGAGCACCTGCAAGAGGTAAGGGTGGCCACGTCTGCCTGCGCTACGACAGCCTGGGCAGGGATGGGTTTGGGTGGAGGAAAAGAGGCAGCAGCTACACAGGGTTGGGCTGGGCGTTCCAGCCTTATTCAAATCCCGTTTCTCCACGTGGACGTCCCACATCCGGATCAATCCCCACCAAACTACCCCCACTCCTGCCTTCATGCAGGTACTTAATGACACAAGATATGGACCTACATGTAGCCTTTGGCGGAAGCACAGGGAGAAGGAAGAGGCGGGGTTGAAGGAGGGAGCAGGGAGAATCCAGCTTCAGGCGGGTCCTGGCAACACTGTGGTTTGCACCTGTCGTGCTGAGCAAGCCTCAGGCTGCACCCTACCTGTGTGATCCAACATAGACCAAGGCGGGAGTGGGGCAGGGCTGGTATCCTCTAGGTGGTACCACACCACAGAACGCAACATTAGCAACTGCCTACCAAGGATCCCAAAGGATGACGCTTTCCACCACGCTCCCTCCCTCTCTCCCTCCCTCTCCCTCTCTCACACACACAGACAGACGCAGATCCAAGCTACAGTAAAAACAATCTTCCCTACGCTTCCAGAGACCCTGCTCCTGCCGGTGAGAAGACGCCTCTATTCCAACACACAGCAGCACCCCCTGCACAGTTCAGCCAATGCTGACCTCAACAATCTAGACCTCTCCTAGATAATCCAGGGAGAAACTTGCAGCTGCGGGTCACCACAAACTAAGCCACAGCCTCTAAAGTGTTAAGAAAACAACTAACGGCTGGGGTGCGAGCTGACAAGCTGGGAAGAAGGAGACCCTTTTGGAAATTCAATCCTGGTAGGAGTCAGATACATCCCAGCAGCCCAAGCTCTGTGCACCTTCTCCCCCACGCACACTGTACTGAGACCCCAACCAGCAACTAAGTCCCAGGCGCCCGGGCCCACTAAAGGACCCTGGGAGACTGAACTCTAGCCAGTCTCCTACTGAACAGGTCCCCACTGCCGGCACCAACCTAACCCTCTGTGGCTTCCACCTTGCACAGACACGGCCCCCCCCCGACACACACACACACACACACACACACACACACACACACACACACACACCGCTCAGTAAACTCCAGTCCGATCTGAGTCCTCATCCCGTTCCAACCGCTAACCCCCAACGCCACAACTGCATCCTACTCCCGCCCTCCTTCATGCTGACCCTAAAACACCCTTTCTGCCCGCGCGAACACCCATCTCCTTCATGCAGCAAGCCCCCCAACCCAAAACAGAGCTCTGTGGAGATGCACGCTTCCCGGGGGTCACCTACCCGGCTGGCTCCTGCTCCCCGTGCCCAGGACCGGCGCCCCAAGTCGCCGCCCGGTCCCGCGTGCGCTCCCGCGGTCCTGCACACTCCCCCAACTTTCGCAGCCTCCACCACTGGGACTCCCGGCCGCGCCGGACCCTGCTCTTAAGCGCTCCGTGACGCACGGGGAGGGGCGGGGGCGCCACTGACGCACGCGGCCGGGCGAGCTCTGGCCATACAAGGGCGCGGGGGGCGGCGCGGTTCCGGCGGGAGGCGGCCAGGGGTAGGCACGGGGACGGGGAGCCCGAGGAGGCGGGGCGAGAGGGGGGGCCTGGAATGTCTGCGCGCGTGACGCACGCGGGGTTCCATTGACGCAGGGAGCGCGGATTGTTTGATCTATAAATAGTCCCCTCTCGCCCTCTGCGCCAGCTAAAAATAGCAGCTCGCGGATTCGCTAGGCTCCTCCGGCAGGACCCAGCACCGGCCCGGGGCCCCTGGGGCCGAAATAAGCAGCCCGAGGGCCAGAGCCCAAGAAAAGGGTGCTCTAGCGCCGTGGCTGCGGGGCTTCCCCGGACGAGGAGCTCCTCACCCTCCGGCGGCTCCCGGGAGCCACGAACGCGCCCGGCTCCGCTTTTGCACCATCCCCAGCCCTTCCAGCGGGCACGGGGAAGGCCCAGGGCTGGGGCGGGCAACTCAGAGACTCACCCCGGGGAACCTGCGCCCCCCACCTCAGCCCAAGGCGCTGCCACTGCACTTGACCCTTCTTCCCCAGCGGGGTCTCGGGCTGTCTCTCTCACACACACACACACACACACACTTATTCCCTCTGTCTCTCTCACACACACACACACACACACACACACACACACACACTCACACACACACACTTATTCCCTCCCCCCAATTTCTCATGCAAAGTACCTTCCGGAGGGCAGGGATTCGCCAAGCCCAAGACAGGCCAACTGGCTGTGCTTCACAGCTGAAGTTGATTTCTCACCACTACCCTCCCCAGTCCCTGACAGGGTGAAAGCACTCTAGTTGGGAAATTACAGAATTTCAGAACCGGGTGGAGCCTGAGAAATCTTTTCGAATCTGTGCCGACTCTTCCCCACTTTATAAATAAACAGGCTCAGCAAAATAATAGCACTTGCTCAAGGCCACAGAGCAAGGCGGTGGCACACTGGGGTGGAACCTGACTACATCTCTAGGGGATCCCTTCACACCCTCCGCTGTCCATGATCGAGGAGTTCCCACCTGCAGCCTTCCCGGGAGCCCTCGCCTGCTAGGTGGGAGAGGAAGGAAGAAAAGGCTACTATTTAGAAGAAGAGAGCCCCTCCCCACACCCCTCCCCCTCTCCCCTCTCCACACTGAGCTTGCGCCCACGGACCCCACTCTGGCCTCCCCTGGTCACCCAACAGCACTTTCCTCTACCCTTGAGGCACTTCCTGCTCCTCACTTCCACTCTCACCTCCGTCTCAGGTTTCCCACACCCTGCTCTCCAGCCCCCACTTCTGTCCACTCAAAGGTCCCACCAGCACCTCAAATGTCACCCGTTCCAGACAGAGCTTGCCGTCTCTGCACTCCCCGCCTGCCACCCATCTCTGCTCCTGATGCCCCACATGCTACTTTTCACTCTTTCCTGAAATTCTATTTTGGAACTTCTCTTGGATCCTCCGTTCCTAATTGCCAGCCAGAGCCCACGCCTCACTGGTGCCTGAAGGCAGCAGACCAGCTGATTGAGGCCAACGACCTCCCCTTCTCCCTTCTTCTTGCCCGCACCCATTAAGAAACTGCCCCTTCACCAGCCTGCCTCCTCTTCCCAAACCCTACTGTCCACCACGGATGGAGCAGTCTTCATGTAACACCAGCATCATTCGGTGATCCGGTCAGAGCCTAGCATAGCTCCCGCACTGCAGCCCACAGTCTCAACATGGACCAGTCTTCAGAGAGCTCTGGCCTTTGCTAAAACACCTTCCAAAGACGCTTCAACGGCCACCTGCGTGCAGATGAAGTGTGGGCAGGATGATGTTTAGCCAAAGTTTTGTTTTTCTTTGTCTTGGGCTTTTGCAGAAGATATTACTTGGATAAAAAGGATTCCACAGCTTAAAACTGGTTAGAAACCACTAATATAATTCATGTCTTCCCATTTTGCAGATTAGGACCCAAGGGCTCCCAGAAGAGCTGCACCTTGCTCA